CTTACCTGATTTAAGCAATTTTCTTTTTAACTCCTGTGAGGTAAGTTTGACTCTGGGCATTTATATGGGTGGGGTGGTGGCATAGTACCCCTCATACTGGCTTTTAAATCATTTTTCTAAAAAAGCTTTCCTCAAATCAGAGGAGGATCATCCAAGTCCTTGGGTCCCCAACACCCACACAGGAGACCTGGAGGAAGCTCTGGGCTTCAAATAAGTCTTGGCCATTGCAGCCGCTTGGGGAGTGAACCAACAGATAGAAGTCTCCCTCCCTCTCTCTTAGAATATAGTAGGAAAATTCTTTTCTAACCAAATACCTGTTTTTATAGCTTTAATTTTTGTGTGTCTTCTTCCTCCTTTTAAATAAAATCAAAATAAATCAATGCCAATTAACTGGGACCTAGTTAATTGAGATTCTATAGAAAATTGCCCCATTATTGGCCTAGGTACAAAAAATAATAAATTTGAGAACTTCTGTCCAGAATTTCATGGAAGATGAATAGAATAGTAAGGTTTGGAAATCATGGAGCATACAGAAATAGGAGAAGGAAATCAAGGAATCTCTGAGGCCATCTTCTTAGATTCAAGTGCAATTACTCAATCACATGTGCACTGCCCAAAACAACTTCCCTTCTTCTCTCCAGGGATTTCTTGAAAGTGAGGAGAACTGCATTCTTCTCCTGGTGTCAAGTTCTGGGTTGTAAATCAATTGAGTTTGAGGATTCTCTTCCGTTATGCCAATTGTCATCCCATTTTCAGGGTGACCTACACAAATAGTAAAATATTTTAATTAAGAATTCGGACATGGGAGGTGGTATGCTTTTCCCAAACACAATTTTGAATTTAACATTAATGTGTTTACATTCTTAAATGCTCTTGTGCCATCCTAACAGTGAGAATTCTCATGAATAACATTTCTGCTTAGGTGCTAATCACTTCATGTTTCTCTAGCCCCTCCCTCTATGACCCATGCTGGTTTCCCCCTTCTTCCTCTTCATACCTGTCCCAACCACTGTTTTCCAACTCTCCTACACTGTGACCATCTATGGCTTCTCTAGTTTTTTTTTTTTAAAGATTTTTATTTATTTATTTGAGAGGTAGAGTTACAGACAGTGAGAGGACAGAGAGAAAGATCTTCTATCCAATGGTTCACTCACCAAATGGCCACAATGGCTGGAGCTGAAGCCAGGAGCCAAGAGCTTCTTTGAGGTTTCCCAAATGGGTGCAGGGGCCCTAGCACTTGGGTCATCCTCCATTGCTTTCCCAGGTGAAAGTAGAGAGCTGGATTGGAATAGGAGCAGCTGGGACTCAAATCGGTGACCATATGGAATGCTGGTGCTGCAGGAAGAGGATTAACCCACTGTGCCTCTGTGATTAGCTTTATAAACAAAGATCATACTCTCAAGGGTAGGAGCTCTGGTGAAAAATGGATGGAAAGAAAAAGAAACGTTTGAAATATAAATACTAACAATGTTTTTACCTAAAATAAAAATGGTATCATCCACATGGTTTTTGGGGTTGCCTCTATTATGCAAGTAAGTCTTCACTACTCTTTTTAGTCCTTAACCTCTGTGTTATGTAGAGAAAAGCATTTCTTGGACCAACACAATTTTATAAAAAAATTTAATTCTCACATTATAGAATAACAAGATCATGTTTCCAAATCACACATGAATATTAAATTCCTATCAGCCAGTTTATTAGTGTTTTGAGTGAAAGATCCTATTTTGTAATTCAAGATCATTCAGTCATTTTCTTAATATTGAGACTGTTATTACTTCATTTAGAAATTTTATTACTATAAGGAACAGATTTCATGTATTTCCTTGGTACAATTCTAAGACAGCCATGCTTACCTCCCTCTCTGAGTCCCTCCCTCAAGTCCCCTCCTTATTCCTTTTTTTTTTCCTTTATTTTTTGCCAAAACATAACTTCAATACAGTTCATAATCACAGGCTTAATGCACCACTAACCATAATATTCAACAAGCGTTACTTCATTTTGATGCAAAGAGAGTAGCTTTCTGATCCTATGCTGAGGGCCTACTATTTGCCAGCTCCTATTCTGCTTGATAGGATTGCATCAGTAAACAAAACAGACCTCTGCACTCAAGAAATTTGTTATACTGTAGTGAGACAGAAGCCAAATAAATAATCTAGATGGTATAACAGTACACTACATGTATGCTTTGGGGGTGGGAGGAAGTAAGATAATAGGGTAGGCATTTGGTCTAGCAGGTAAGATGCTTGTGTCCCACATCTGAGTGCCTGGGTTCAATTTCTGGCTCTTGTTCCTTACTCTGGATTCCCACCAGTGCAGACTTCAGAAGACAGCAGTGATGGCTCAATTGAGTTCTTGTCACCCATATGGGAGGACTGGCTTGTGGACTGCACCTAAATATGTCCCTCCCTACCATTGTGGGTATTTGAGTAAATGAACCTCAGATACTACAACAATACCTAAGCCAAACTCTTGTGTGTATCTTATCAGTTGACACAGCTTGGGATGCCTATAATCCATTACGAGAATACCTGCTTTGAGTCCCAGCTCTGCTTCTTATGTAACTTCCCGCTCATACATGTCCTAGAATGCAGCAAGTTATGACTCAAATACTTGGCTCACTGCAAACCACGTGGGAGACCCAGATTGGCTTCTGGACTCCTGGTTTTATCCTGGCCCAACCTAGTTATTGCAGGTACTTGGGGAATGTACCCGTAGGTGGAAGATCTTCGCCTCTGCTTTTCAAGTAAAATGAAAATAGTGTTAAAAAGAAAAACAAAGTCAGCCATGTATTTCAGTCAACAATCCAGACAAGTGTTGTTTGACAGAAAAGCAACAGTTCCTTCCCTCAAAGAACTAACATAGTTGAATAAATAAAACAAAAACACCTAAAAATAATTATGATAATTATGAGAGTACTTTAAAAAGCTAGTGGCAAAGTAGTATTAAAAGAAGTTTTTGCTGGTCCAAAAATTTTTGAAATCATGCAGTTTTTAAGATATGAATATTCCATGAATATTTTGACATATGCATAGATTTCAATTCTTTGCCCTAAAATAAACTGTTGATTCAGCTTTCCACAAACCATTTGAAACGCTCTCATATTATATGTATTCTAAGTATCAATAAATGATAAACCTACTAAATTCCAGAAGAATGATACAAAAGGATTACTGAACTTTATATCGACCTATATCCCAAGATCAATATGTTTTCTACTACAAGTCGATAGTCAAGTTTTTGCATACAAAAGCTAAATCTATGTTCAAAATGTCTATGCTGCATAGGAAGCTATGCCTAAATTTAATGTTGTAAGCATTTATTTTGTTCATATGCTACAATTTGGACTGAACCCTGCAGAGTTATTTATACCTGGTGTAAAAGGAGGCAGCTTGAAGACTAGAGGCTAGAATCATCTGAATATTTCTTAAAGATTTCTTTGAAGGCCAGGTCACAGAGACAGAGATCTTCCATCTGCTGATTTTCTCCTCAGATGGCTGCAAAAGCCAGGGCTGGGTAAAGCTGAAGCCAGGAACAAGGAGCTTAATCTGGGTCTCCCATGTGGGTGCAGGGGCTAAGCACCTAGGCTATCTTCCACTGCTTTCCCAGACCATTAGCAGGGATCTGATTCAGAAATGGAGCAGCCGGGACACAAACCAGCGCCCACATGGGATGCTGGTGCCTCAGGGGACATCTTAGTCCACTATACCACAATGGCAGTCCTCAAAACATTTTCACATGGACATGTCTGTCAGTTGACTGTGACTATTGACTAAAATTATAATTAGGGCTAGTGACTTAAACATCTGTCCATGGCCTTTTCATATGATTAGGGTTACAATGACATGGTGGCTGCATTCTAAGGACAAGTGTTAATATAGAGCTAGAAAAAAGCCACACTGTTTTTTTATGACACAGCCTTGGGATTTAGGAGGTACATTCTCCATCTAATTCTGTAGCCAAAGACTAGCTTATTTTCCACAGAAGAAGGGATCAATGTCTTCCTTTGGTGTAAGCAGGACAAGATCCTAGAACAGTATATATCTTTGTTTTCCTTTTCAGAAAACATTGGTCACAATCTTTGAGGTCAGAGTTTCTCATTTTCACAACTGTATGAATGTATGTATTGATACCTCAAAAGGTGATAATTAAATGAAGTAAAACATAGAGGTAAGTAGTCATCAAATAAAAGTACAGACTAAATGTACTTTAATTTTTGAAACCCACAAATATTTTCAGAACTTACCAGCCTAGATGCAAACAGTATTAGATAGGTATCTGTATCCATATATTTCTACCCTTGATCTCTGATAAATAATGGTCTATGATCTCTAAATTCCCTAGTCTGCCTTCTCCCCACTTGCCACAAGTATTTTTGAAGAAAACCTGGCACATGAGAACTTACTGCCAAAGTTGGGAGGCACCTTGAGACCAAAGAGGAATACAAATTAAGGATTTCAAAGCAGAATTTATTAGGGATTTATGGACAAAAGCATAGTCTTTGGGCAGCCATAAGATAGAAGGCTCTCTACAGAATGACAGAGGAGAAAAAGGGTTTGATAGGAAAAAGTGGCCCATGACCATGTAGACTACACCTAGGCTTTCTCAAGAAACATTTAGATTTCTAAAAAACACTCCAGGGCTGGCGCCATGGCTCACTTGGTTAATCCTCCACCTGCGGCGCTGGCATCCCATATGGGTACCAGGCTCTAGTACCGGCTCCTCTTCCAGTCCAGCTCTCTGCTGTGGCATGGGAGGGCAGTGGAGGATGGCCCGGGTGCTTGGGCCCCGGCACCCATATGAGAGACCAGGAAGAAGTATCTGGCTCCTGGCTGCGGACCAGCGTAGCTCCAGCCATAGCGGCCATTTGGGTGGTGAACCAACAGAAGGAAGATCTTTCTCGGTCTCTCCTCTCTTACTGTCTAACTCTGTCAACTAAAAAAGACACTCCAGATACTGGGTAAGGACAGTATATTGGCTTAATGACTCTCTTTATCTCATAGGGTCTTAGATGACTGGCAGGATGATGTGAATGGTGAGATGGCAACTTCTACTAAGACAAACTGCAATTATATCAAACTGGATCCTTACACCAAGGTATTACTGAAATTCACCAGAGATGTACTCTTATTTTTATTTCTACAGTATTTATAATAGTCCATTCAACGCAGCTGCTACTCTGCCCTTCCTGACTAGGTACAATAGCTTCTTAGTAGTAGCTGCTCCTAGCCAGCAGCATGCCCTCTAACAGAGGTTTTCTGGACACTTATTCTGGTTCCTCTAGGAAATTGCATTCTGAGTTCTACTCTTCTGAGTTATAAGGATGGTGCTTCTTCCTTATGACCAATCTTCCTTTACCCCCAGGCAAATATTTTCTTTCCTTATTTTCTCGAAATATATGATTTCTTTAGACTTGATATTTGCCAAGAGATAATGTGAAATACTGTCAAGCATTATTTCATACTTCATGAATGGCATTTTACACACCCACACTTGCACACATAGCTGACAACTGCCTTATGAAGCAGGTGCAGCTGTGATCCTCCTAAAACTGAATGTCTCAGGTCATATGGCTAATAAATCACAGCATCAGGATTTTGTTTTTTTAATAAAACTATAAAATTATATATATTTATGGGTACACTGTGGTATTTAATTACACGTATATATTATGTAATATCCAATTAGGGTAACTATGTTTACAATTTAACATTACTTCATTTTGAAAATATCCCCAAAGAGACATATGCAGTAAATTATTTACCTTCACCCTACTGTCAATAGAGCCCACGAACTAATTATTCATATCTACCTTTAACCTAGTACTTGTAAATCAGCTTTTCCCAACTCTTCTTTCCCCACTTCTCTCCCCAACCTCTGGTAACCACAATTATATTTTTAACTTCTATGAGATCATCTATTTTAGGGAATTCACAAATGAGTGATATTTGTATTTCTATGCTTGGCTTATTTCACTTAATATAATGGGCACCAGTTTTATTCATGTTGTTGTAAATGACAATCTTTCATTTTTTATCAATGAATAATGTTGTATATATTAGCACATTTTCTTGATGTGTTCATCAAGATGGGTGTTAGGTTGTTTCCATTTCCTGGTTATTTTGAATAGTACTGCAATAAATGGAGTACAGATGTCTCTAACAGATGGGTTCATTTCACATGGATGCATGGATGGATGGATGGATGGATGAATAGATAGATGGATGCTAAATCCTATGCAATTCTAGTTTTAGCTTTTAAGGATCCTTCATACTGTTTTCCACGATGGCTATACTAATTACGTTCCTATCCACAGTGTGCAAAAGTTTTTTTCTAAACCTCCTCACCAATACTTGTTACCTTTTCTTTTTGAGAGCCATTTTACTAGAGGGAGGTGGTATCTCATTGGGGTTTTGATTTGCATTGCCTAATTGTTAGTGGTGTTGAGTATTTTTTTCATGTAATCATTGGCCATTTGTATGTCTTCCTTTGAGAAATATGTTTAGATCGTTGCCCATTTTTAAAATTAGATTGCTTACTTTTTTTTTTTTTGCTATTGAGTTGTTTGAGCTCTTCATATGGTCTGGATGTTAACCTGCCATAACATATAGCTTGAAAATGATTTCTCTGAAGGTGTCTGTTACATTTTTGATTCTTTCCTTCGCTGTACAGAAGCTTTTTAGTTTGTTAAAATCCAATTTGCATGTTTTTGCCTTTATTTCCTGTGCTTTTGGGATCTGATGCAGAAATCTCTTCAAATTGCAATATCCTGGAGTATTTAATTGTGTTTTTTTCAATGGTCTCAAAGTTTGAGGTTTTATATTTTAACTTAAATCCATTTTGAGCTGATTTTTGTGAATAATGAGAGAGATGGGGTATGATTTCATTCTTCTATATATTTATATACAATTTTCCCAGCACCATATATTAAAAAGACTAATTTTTTCCAACGCATATTCTTAGGAACTTCATCAAAGATTACTTAACTGTAGATGTGAGTTTATCCTAAGGTCTCTATCCTGTTCCATTGGATATATATTGTTAATTTTCTTATATAGCAATACTATATTGTTTTAGTTACTATAGCTTTGTGATATATTTTAAAGCTAGGTAGTATAATGCATCTTATAATGCCTCTTTTACTCGAATAATTTGGTAGTTATTTGTGATTACACAGAAATTTTAGTGGTATTTCTCTAGTTCTGTGAAAAATGTCATTGTAAATTTGGCAGGGATTGTATTGAATATGGAAGTCACTTTGGGAAGTATGAACATTTAATGATAGTGAAAATTTTTTTTTTGGTACAAGTTTTTTTTATTATTTTTTAAACTTTTATTTAATGAATATAAATTTCCAAAGTACAGCTTATGGATTACAATGGCTTGCCCCCCATAACATCCCTCCCACCCGCAACCCTCCCCTTATCCACTCCCTCTCCCCTTCCATTCACATCAAGATTCATTTTCGATTCTCTTTATATACAGAAGATCAGTTTAGCATACATTAAGTAAAGATTTCAACAGTTTGCTCCCACACAGAAACATAAAGTGAAAAATACTGTTTGAGTACTAGTTATAGCATTAAATCTCAATGTACAGCACACTAAGGACAAAGATCCTACATGAGGAGTAAGTGCACAGTGACTCCTGTTGTTGACTTAACAAATTGACACTCTTGTTTGTGGCATCAGTAATCACCCTAGGCTCTTGTCATGAGCTGCCAAGGCTATGGAAGCCCCCTGAGTTCACTGACTATGATCATTTTTAGACAAGGCCATGGTCAAAGTGGAAGTTCTCTCCTCCCTTCAGAGAAAGGTACCTCCTTCTTTGATGACCCGTTCTTTCCACTGGGATCTCACTCGTGGAGAACTTTCATTTAGGTTTTTTCTTTTTTTCCCCAGAGTTTCATGGCTTTCCATGCCTGAAATACTCTCATGGGCATTTCAGCCAGATCCGCATGCCTTAAGGGCTGATTCTGAGGCCAGAGTGCTGTTTAGGACATCTGCCATTCTATGGGTCTGCTGTGTATCTCACTTGCCATGTTGTATCATTCTCTCTCTTTTTTATTCTATCAGCTAGTATTTGCAGACACTAGTCTTGTTTATGTGATCCCTTTGGTTCTTAGTCCTATCATTATGATCAATTGTGAACAGAAATTGATCACTGGGACTAGTGAGATGGCATTGGTACATGCCACCTTGATGGGATTGAATTCGAATCCCCTGGTATGTTTCTAACTCTACCGTTTGAGGTAAGTCAGCTTGAGCATGTCCCGAATTGCACATCTCTTCCCTCTTTTATTCCCACTCTTATATTTAACAGGGATCACTTTTCAGTTAAGTTTCAGCACTTAAGAAGAATTGTGTATTGATTACAGTATTCAACCAAAAGTATTAAGTAGAACAAACAAAAAAAATACTAAGAGGGATAACATATCAAGTTGCTCATCAACAGTCAGGGTGAGGGCTGATCAAGTCACCATTTCTCATAGTGTTCATTTCACTTTAACAGGTTTCCTTTTTGGTGCTCAGTTGGTTGTCACCTATCAGGGAGAACAAGTGGTATTTGTCCCTTTGGGACTGGCTTATTTCACTCAGCATAATGTTTTCCAAATTCCTAACAGGGATCACCTTTCAGTTAAAATTTAAACACCTAAGAATATTGTGTGTTAATTACCGAGTTCAACCAGTGGTACTAGAACAAAAAAAAAAATACTAAAATGGATAAGGTGTATCGAAACCCTGTCATTTGCAACAAGATGGAGGAATTTGGAAAACATCATGCTGAGTGAAATAAGCCAGTCCCAAAGGGACAAATATCATATCTTTTCCCTGATCGGTGACAACTAACTGAGCACCAAAGGGGAAACTTGTTGAAATGAAATGGACACTATGAGAAACAGTGACTTGATCAGCTCTTGTCCTGACGGTTGATAGTGAAATATTGTTATCTTAGAATTGTACCTATGATGAATTGTGTTCTTTTTTTTTTTAAGGTTTTATTTATTTGAAAGTCAGAATTACACAGAGAGAGAAGGGGAGGGGGAGAAGGGGAGGGAGAGAGTTCTTCCATAAGCTGGTTCACTCCCCAATTGGCCTCAATGGCTGAATCTGTGCAAATCTGAAGCCAGAAGCCAGGAGCTTCTGGGTCTTCCATGTGGGTGCAGGGGCCCAAGGAGTTGATCCATCTTCTAGTGTTTTCCTAGGCCACAGCAGAGTGCTGGATTGGAAGTCGAGCCAGACCTCGAACCAGTACCTATATGGGATGCCAGCACTGCAGCCTGTGGCTTTACATGGTATGCCACAGTGCTAGCCCAAATTGTGTTCTTTGTATTTAAAAGAATTTTTAAAAAATTTTTATTATCCATGAACATAGGATGTGTTTCCATTTCTTTGGGTCCTCTTCAAAGTTTTTCATCAGTGACCTATAATTTTCATTATAGAGATATTTCAACTCTTTTGTTATATATATTCTCAGGTGTTTAATGTTTTTATTGTAGCTATGTTTTTATTGTAGCTATGGGAAATGAGGTTACTTTCTTGATTTCTTTTTCATATGATTCACTATTGGCATATAGCAATGCTACTTGTTATTATACATTGACATTATATCCTGCAACTTTGCTCAATTTGTTGATTAGTTCTAATAGCTTTTTGGTGAAAATTTTCAAGGTTTTTCAAGATTTTTTATTTTTATTAATTTTTTAAAAATATTTTATTTGAAAGACGTTACAGAGAGATGTAAAGACAGAGTCTTCTGTCTGCTGGTTCACTCCCCAGATAGCCAAAACGGCTGGAGCTGCGCTGATCCAAAGCCAGGAGCCTCCTCCAGGGCTCCTATGTGGTTGCAGGGCCCAAGCACTTGGGTCATCCTCTACTGCTTTCCCAGGCTATAGCAGAGAGCTGGACTTGAAGCGGAGCAGCCAGGACTAGATCTGGTGCCCATGTGGAATGCCAGAACTTCAGGCAAGGGCTTTAACCCACTGAGCCACAGTGCTGGCCCCTTAAGATTTTTTAAATATAAGGTCATATCACCCGAGAATGGTGACAACTTGAGTTCTTCCTTTCCAATTTGAATGCTTTTTATTTCTTTCTCTT